TCACTGCTTAACGGAGAGACACTGGCAGGTGAAATCACTCTCCCATCCTCACCGACCTCGGGCTGTTTTTGCGGCGTGCATGCTGACTCCTCTGCTCCCTGTTTGTTGAAATATGTTCCGATGTTTGTTCTAGTCGCCAACTGGGAGGGTTGAATTATCTCCCGGGTTTTTTTCTTTTTACTGCTCTTCTTCATTCTGCTGGTATGTCAGCGGACCAATGCGAGCGGAGCAGGCAGTCAAAGGAAAAAATAAAAATAAAATTGATAGCAGGCTGATGCTAGTAGAGCGGGTACAGAGACTCCAAGACGACCGCTGATTAGTCCGACCGAGGCAGCTACAGGATCTACGAGGCACTGGCTAGTTGATGTGGATGTAGCAGGTGCAGGAGCTCAAAGCACACACATCCTCACTCACTCATGGGTTAGCCACACCCCACTTGATCAGAGCTTCCGTATCCTCTAGTTTTAGTCAAAATACTAACCAGGAACTAGTATTTTTTTAACAAGGTCATCAAGTTTCCTATAAGGCTAATAAAACTAAACTCTCAGCTTACAACTTAAAGGCTAGTTGAACCCTTTTCGAAAATTGCAACCATCATCTCAATGTTATACCTGTCAGAATGCCTCACTGCCACTTATATAAGCTGTCCACTGCCAGTAATCGGCAGCTAAGGATACCTGTCATTTTGGAACACCCTGTGGGTATTATATTTTAACAGTTCAGTCTGGCTTTAATACTCAGGTAAAAAATATATACACTGAATGTCCACTGAATGTCTTTTTTCAGGACACCTACTAAATTAACAAACAGCCAGTAAATCAAGTGGCAGACACTCAATACACATTGCATACATATATAGCCAAGACGTTCAGCCATAGTTCAAACAAAAGAATGGCAAGAATGACATTTAAGCAACTTTGACTTAGCAATGATCACTTGTGCCATGGGTGATGGTTGCAGCATCTTACATACTGCTGACCTTCTGTGACATATGCGTTATAGTCTTCTGGAGTTTAAAGAGCATGGCAGTTTTGTAGGAGCAAAGATTTGGTTTACTAAGATTGCATGCATAACATCCTTCATCACAATGGTGTGCAGAAGGACATCAAACACAAATAGGGCTATGAAAAAAAAGGATAAGGTGTTTGGAGAAGGCAGAAGAAGTGAACAGGCCAAAAAAGCTAATTTGGAAAAATTCTCCAATTCAGCTCACTTTCCAAATCAGCTATGTTGCATTAGATTGTTCTCTTCTCCTGTCTTCTCCAAACTCTTCACCCTTTTCTGAATAACCCTGAAAATGTTATACCTTGAAGAGGATGGCTCACAGCAGCAGAAGACCTCACTGGGTTTCACTCTTCATAGTGAAGAACAGGAAAATGAACCTATGCTTGCTTACTTGAACCATTAACGATGGATAGAAACAAGGTTTAGTGGTCTGCAAATTGTTGACTCGGAATTCAGTGTACACAACATCAATGTATGGATCCATCCTGTCTACTTCCAGCAGTTGGGGCAACTATTAATGGTGTTATGTTGTTGAGAATTCAGGCCACCCATTTCCACTGGCTGCTTTCAGTAGCATAATGCATCATTAAGCATGAACCATTTCGGTCTTTGTCCGATAACATGACATTGACATCACTTTACCCCAAAAGCCTCCACAGTCCACAAAGCTCAATCTAATAAATCACTTTTGGGAAAAGGTGGAAATATTGACATAAACAGCAGTGAGAAGCCTGCCGGAGGTTCGGCTCAGCTGATCCAGATGTTGGATCGGCTGAGTCGAACTCCTTCTGCACTTCGGGTCAGCCGAACATGCTGAGCATGTTCGGCTGATCCGAATCCACACGAAGCAAGCCGATGTACGGCTGATTTCAGCCGATATACGTCTGAAATCAGCTGTACCAGCCTGAAGTGAATAGCCGAACAGTGTTCGGCTCACTTCACTTCTGATCGGTCATTCACTCGGCTGCCCTCGGCAGCTTTGTGAATAGACCCCTATGGATCAAAATCCGTAAGGAACTCTTGCAACACCTTTTTGGATCCATGCTGACAAGGATTTAGACTGCTCTGAAGGCAGATTTAGGTCCTATCCAGCAGTTGTTAGGTATACCTAAAAAGTGGTTGTAGAGTATATGTCATCTGTTTACCTGCCAAAAGATTTGTAACATAATGTGCAGCCAGTGTTGTCATCCAGGAAGCCCTGCCAGATTGCAAAGTTGTGCAATTGTGCATAGATTGCATAGTGCCTGCATAGTTCCTACTGCAACTAAACTATACAGCTTGGTCAAGAACCCTCCCACAGGCTGTTTTCTCCTATCTGCAATCTCCCATTGTTAGAGTAATAGCAACACAGTGCAATCTGATTGTCCCTCACTGCTTGCCCTCCTTCACCCATTCTTGGTTCTGGTGTGTAGAGGATTACTGCAAGCTAATAAAAATTTAATTCATGTACTTATACTGGTGTTTAAATGTAAGGATTTTTAAAAATTAAATACAACTTGAATAAATTGTGGTATATTTATTCAGCTCAAATTCAGCAAATCAAACATGAAAAGTTCTCTTTATTGTGATTCATGTAACACTCTGTGCTCTTCGTCTTAAAAAGCTGGTCACTCAGCTAGCCTAATCTCAGTAATATTTAATTCTTGTCACTGGTTCACTAGCCCTCTGTAAGCCAATATCATCTTCACCCACCCACACACACTGAACACAAAAGCATGGCTACACAGAAGGGAAACATGGGACAGAAGGCTGAAGTTCTGGTTACAAGTCTTGTGATAAACATGCTTAATCTGGCTGCATGGTCTTTAAGAAAATTAAATAGATTTTTGTTGGTGTATTTTTTTTGGTTCTGCACGGTTTAAAAGAAAGACACACTGCACATACAGTACTTTTGGTACTGTACCTTGAGGTCTGAATTGTAGTTTCAAGTTAAATACATTAGACAAACCTTGTCTTACTTCGGTCTGTTTTTCATTTGAACTGCAGTGCCAGTCCTACATTTTGCCTTCCTGTAGTCGGCTGTCACAGTCCCCCTGTGAGTGCAGCAGTCTATCTTTGGCTGTCCAATATGACTTCTGCTTTATCACATACTGTTCTCCAAACACTAACCAGCCCAAAATTCAGCTCCCCTGCAGCGGGCCAAAGGCAAAGACCTCTGCTCTCACACAAATCGCAGCAGCCTTCATCTTTGGCCTTCTGCAAGGGAGTTGAATTTCGAGATAGTGCTACTTAATCGAATAGTCAGTAGCATGACACTTGAAAACTAAATCGTTTGTCTAATGTGTTTAGCTTGAAACAACTTTCAGGCTTAAGTTTAAACAGATGCTTGCCTATTTATTATTTTTATCTTGTCTATTTATTATTTAAAAAAGAAGGAAAAGAATGTAAATTAACTTAAAATAGAATAGGATAGATAGATAGATAGATAGATAGATAGATAGATAGATAGATAGATAGATTGATAGATAAGCAGCCTATATATACACTAATAAACACAAAATTAAAAGGCCACTTCAATAAACTTTCAGAATTGTAAAAGTAAAGCACATTTTTATTTGAAGAAATGTTGCTTCGTGACTTTCCTGAAGTCCGAATTGTTCTATAAAAGTATAACATGATTAAAAAAAAACACAAAACAAAGCCTATTCATCTGTTTAAGTCTATTTACAAAAAAAAAAAGAGTACTTTCATAACCATAAATACGTTTGTCATGTCATCACAGAACGTGACGCGTATAGCAACAACTTTTAGTATATATACATAGACCACATTGGGACTGCTGAGAAGAGAAACTTTCAAAATCCCACAGATCAAATGTGGTGCTGATCTGCATTGATGAAGTGGAATACAGAAGCAATATTTTGACAAGAAAAAAAAGAAATGATTCCTGCATGGATATGTAAAAACATTGAGGTAATTTGTAAATATGGATGTAATGTTTACAACATCAATGTTATCATTTCTATGTTTATGTATATGTTATGTGCCACGTTTGCTGCTTCAGGTGCCTCTAGCTGCATTTTCCTTTTTACTAACCTGTATGTGAAATAACGTATTCATAGTACATTAGTGTTGCATCTAATGGGTGGAATATGATTCAAGTGTAAAGGTGCTTAAAGTGCACAAACACTTTTTGGGCTTTGGTAACCATCCACAACAGCTCTTGAAAGCCATATACATACCTGTCCCTGCTCGGCCTGCTTGGTGCCCATCTCTGCTCATCTCAGCCAAGTCTATGGCTATCAAGGGCTGTTGAAGATGGGCTTAGGTGCCTAATAAATGTAAGTGCATTTTTAAAGCTCCTGTAACTAGAAAAACCTGGGAGCTTTCATGTTAGCATGTTGTGGAATAAGAATGTTAGCATGTTGTGGAATAAGAAGCAGCTGAGGAATTTCCATGTAAATTGGAAGTTCTCTTTAAATGCATAAGTCAGTAGAGGTATGTCAAGAGTGGAAAGGCACATATCACCAGAATACAGCTGGATAAATGTGCTCTAGATTGCTCCACCAATGATAGAAAATGGGAGAAATAAATAAGTGACTCACAACTATGGGGAAAACACATTTAATATGATACAAGATTCGGAAAGCAACTCCCCTTCCCTGGATTGCACTTCCAAAACGCTACCATCTTTATAAATAGTGTAATAGTCCCTGATTGTAAGTCACTGATTCATTTGATTCTGTCTAAACAGCAGATTTATCATTTAATGGTCTACAATATATTTGCCAGATTTGATTATCCATGTACGTATCCAAATCTGACAAATGCAGCTATTAGACACTACAATAGGTGCCTGTAGATGATAAGTAGGTGACAGTAGAGTTGGTTGTACAATAATAATGATAATGGATGTAGCCATCTAACACCATCCAATCACTGCTGGCTAGATACTAATCAGATGGATCATCCTTGCCCCACACACAAGGTGATTTTCTCGACATTAGACTTATCTGTCACTCTTTTTCAGATGAGATTGTGCGATTTCATGAATACATTAAGCAAAGTTGTACAGCACCTTTCGCCAAAATGTTTTTCTGGTCACAACAATATGGTTTAGAACTAAAAGTAAAAAGAGGAAAAAACATGGTGGTCAAGCTTAAAAGCTTTATAAAAGTGCAAAATTAGTTTACTAATTCCAGTGGTTAGAAAATAAAATATATAATAGTGGGGATATAATTATCTGTGGTGTTTAAACATTTGACACATATGAGCCCAAATAGTGAAAAAAGAAAAAAGTGTAAAAACATCAAATTTTATGAAATATTAATTGTCAAGTATCTTATTGAAGTGACTTTGAAGACGCCGTTGCCCATATTGTGATAAGCAGAAAATCTATTGGATGCACTGGAATGTCAAGTGCCACAGTCACTGTTTAGAGTTTCAGCTTTTGCTAAAGTATATTTGTTCTAATCAGAAGAAAGAGGGAACGAGGCACTGCCTTCCATATCCAAGTTTGTATTTGTTTCCCCAGAATAATCCTTTGCTGGTCTGGCTTTTTTATTTTCATGGTCTTCAGAATCATCTAAGTGATCCACAGTGGAGATATTTTTTACCTGGTGAGCCGAGAAGTCAATGGGAAGATACACCTGGTCTTGAAATATATCTTCATTTACAAGACGACGTTGCTGAATTTCTCTAGGGGTATGACTAAAAGTCTGCATGTCCAAATTCATTTTGGATTCTAACTCTGCAAGTCCATTTCCACTGAAGTCCACATCATAAGTGTCTAAAGAAACTTGATCAGTCTGTCTTTCGGTTTTACTATAGCTCCAGTGTGCCTGGTTCTTTACTTTCTCCGCTGGGAGATTGTTTTCAAGTTTTTTCTTGTGATTAAATATCACTGTGCTCAAATTTGCTTCTGTTTTAGGTTCCCTTTCTTCCGCAGCTACACCACTAAATTCATCTTCAGAGTCAGCAGAGGACATTTCCACCAGAGCTGACGCATCAGAGGATGCATAAGTTCGTTCATCCGCAGTTGAATTTGCCATAACTTTTTTAGGGATATTGTTCAGCAGTGCAAAAACTCTATCTACATCCTTCAAGTAATTCGCCCAATCATCAGGACTAAGTCTATACTTGTTTCTGTAGCCATACAAGCTTTCATTAACACTGTACAGATCTTCCAGTCCTTTCCAGTCAACATCCTCTGTGAAATTGGGCAGGTTAACCTTCCCATCCGTCCCATAGCTGTCCCCTGTAACAATATAGATGGCATAGGTCATTGGGTTCTGGTTTTAATTCAATGTTTTACTTGCTCACACAAAATCTATTTAAAATGATATGTTAAAATGAATAACATTAAATACAATGATGTTAAAGTGTGTTTTGTGTCAAAGATTTTCCATTCAGTAAACAGAATTAATATTTACAGTCCATCCAAACAAAGTATAAGCATAGGAAACCCCTCACCGCAAAAAGCACGAGTAATAAACCTAACATATGCCATTTATAGCCAAATGCTGCCTAAAGTGAATATATAATTTGTCCAGGCAGGGCAAAACTACAAGCTTACTTTATTGGTGTCCCCACCATACCATCCACACACCACCTCATTTAGCCACCAGAAGCAGAGACAGGACCATTAAGCTCAAGCTGGAACTTACAAAAGGCTGAGGACTCTTTCCCACCCTATGGTATAGTGCTTGGTGGCTAATCAAAGCATAAGCACTGTCACATGGGAAGAAGGGGAGTGAGTCACATGTTCTTCATACCTAGAAGTATTGGGATTTGTCTTTGCTCTGAGCTCCAAACAGTGTATGGAAAGCGGAGTAAAGGAGGGTAAGCATAATGTATGCTGCTGTTAGGGCTGACATTAAAGTAAATGCTTTGCTTTGTCCTCCATGGAATAAACACAGATTCACTTTCAGGCCACCACCAGAAACAATACAGAAGAACAAAACAGCCTACCATAAGTGTATTTATTATAAAATATATTTTACAAAGCTTTGTTTATTACACACTACTTATTAAATGTGATCATATGTGAATCTGCCATGTTGGAACACTTTTATAAAGCTAAAATTAAATGGTAATGCCAACTAAAACTGGTATATCTGGGCTCACAGAAGCTTAATCATGCATTACATTATTATAGTTCATAGAAACTCCAGTGATGAGATATGTCCACCAGAATAATTTCTTGTCTACACAGTTCTTTAAAATATAAGAAGGCATTAGTTGATAAAACACATTGGTCACACCTAAAATTTAAATATCTATCTTGTGTGGAGTTGCAAATGTTTAACTCCTCGTAAACACTAGCAGTATGTATTTGCCATACGGTAGTAGTTTGTCTTGTCCTTTAAATTAGGAATTATTTTCTATAGAGTAAAGTGAGGTAGATCTGTGTTAATGTAATGGATGTTTGAGGTGTGGACAGGTACATTTATTTACACACTTTAGGAAAGCTGGCCATACACTATGTGAATTTTGGCCAGTTCATGATGAACAAGCCAAAATTCACACAGTGGGTGCCACTGTCGGAACATCATCTGCAAGGTCCACTCGGGTATTCTGACAGCAACCGGCAGCTGCTGTCAGAATGTGATGAAAACAGAAGGGGATTCCTCCATTCACGCACATAAGTGTAAAAGGAGGAATCTGTTATATTTCCTTCGTTCAGCCTGCAGGTTGAACGAAGAAAATATAATAGTGAATGGCCAGCTTTAGTTAAGTCCAGGTTTACTTCACACTACACTACAGTATATTGGGCTCATTATCTCAGCTGTACTGGCTCAGATCTTCTGTAAAAATTACCTTATTTAATGAAAATTGGTTGCTAAAAGCAGTAGCAATGAGGATGCAAATAAGATGCCACCAAAGTATTTTATTATTTTGAATAGAGCTCCTATCAATTTTTTTTGTACATTTATGTCCCAGTAGGAAGAATTGGGAAGAATTTCCACTTACAGATCGCTAAAAAGTTCACTAGTATGAGTGGCAACTTATCTGAGAGGCAGATATTGCTCATTTCTCAAGAAACCCATAGCAACCTTTGGATGAACCCTGGGGTTCCACAGGACTCTGGTTAAGAAGGGTTGGATTTGAGTATAGATTCAAATAGACAGGCTTTGTTAACTGCGTTTCAAAAGTCAGACATTTCAGTTCACCTTAAAATTCATTTTATTTTATGAAGTGTGCACCTGATGTGCTTTGCTTTGTGGCAGTTCTTATGAGGCTTCATCACCAAAAACATATGCATTCCAGTAGTGCTGCAATCAACTGCAAAGCAGACTGACAGAAAACAAGCCCTTCTATACAACAAGGGCTATTATGAATATTGTTAACGCAAGCCCACCACTAGAGAAGTATGGAGCCTGCCACTGTTGTCCTTTCCTTCTGAAAATGCTAGTTCCTTTTCGGTGATGGTGACCCTTTTGTTTCAATATAACAAGTCATTGATACAGAGCAAGTGATACAGAGCAAGTGATACAGAGCAAGTATGCAGATAAGGATGCCTGACACTTCTGTGACTTTCCTAATTCTCAAAACTGTTCTGATTTGGTCACTCAAGGTATTAAGGTCAACAAGAGCCAGGCAACTAGCACTTTCAGAAGGGAGTCAGCTATATTTTTCTCAAAACTGGTTATCGTTAAGGAGCACTAGGCGCGTACAAAAATCCACCCTTTTATCCACACTTTTATATTCATCCAGTAATCAATTAATTTGTATTCTAACAGTGTCATCCTTTTGACTTCCTATGCGCCCTTGCACACACTTTTACAGAAGGGGAGGTTAAGCACTATGAGCCTTCCAGACCCCATTGCATTGCATAAAGCTGTTTAAGCTTATTACTGAGAAGAGCACAGGGAGGACCTTAGAAATATGGTGATTCCTAGTCTAATGAGTGTGTGATTGAGCTGTAAATATTGAATAGTTGTCTTCTTGCTATGCAGTATGGCAGGGGTTAAGTGTATGTGTAATTATAAGTGTGGCTGCACAGAAATAAATACTTTGGCAGATAAAACGGCTCAAAGATATGTATTTTATGTGTGTATATGTGTGCTTGGCTATAGTTCTGCTCTAAATCTTTTTTTAAATTTATTAACCAAAACAAAGAAAGGATCTCTGGCAGCTCAATCAGGTAAGGTCCTCTGGGTAAGTATAGCTATATTAAACTTAAGTGGCAGGTGGAATGCATACAATGTAAAAAATGTTGTCTGCGTACAGGGAAAACTTCTACAGTGCGTCATAACCACAATAATGCTACTCTCCAGGCAGATGTTTTGTGATTTTCGTATCAAAGTGTCAAACTTCAGACATGCAGATTTACTCAGAGCAGTTTCTGGAAGTGCAGAGCTTTAAAAAATTTACCCTGGAGCAAATTTATAATAGAAGTTATGCAAGTGTCTCATCTGGAGCAAAATCGCTGGTAATTACTACAAACACAAAAGAACAAATGGGAGTTTTTTGTTTAGGCAAAGATATAAGCTCCTTCTTTTAATATTTTTATATACAATTATTATTTAACCACTGTGACAGAGGCCACATGATATATATAGTAACAGAGTAAGGTAGGAATTGAGGAAAAAGTGACATCAACTTAAGACACCTTAAAGTGCACTGAAGGGATGCTGAAGCAAGCGCTATTTGGCAAACGTTAAGTGTCATTGCAACTTGATGAATCAGGCAGAATGAGTGCATCAGGGGAGCAAAACTGGTAAACCTTTTTCATCATTCAGAAGAAGTAAAGCTTCTGGCTAAATTAGGAGCTCAATATTCCATTACAATGGGCAGTTCGCAGGCCTTCTACTGTAAAAGTCAACGTACGGCTGGCTAACTTAAAAAGAACCAGTCACATCAAAAATAATGCAGGAATGTTAATAATCAGGCTTTAATTATTATTATTATTATGCAGCCTCATGTTTAAAATACTTAATTCATCCCCATATTTAGTGTCTGACATGCCAGGTTGTGTTAGGTCACCTGACAGTTAGGTCCTGTTATCTGTCTCCCACCTCCTGAGAGTACATAACAATGTAATAACAAGCTTTGTTGTTATAAACCACTATAGGGCTCTATTATTTGACACTGCTGTGTACTCTGTGTACCTGGGTGACAATGTGTGAGGTCAGACAGTTGACAAATGCCAGACTTCAGGTGACCTTTGACCACCTGATTCTCAAACTAAAATAAATATAAAAATAGAAATATTTTGTAAATAATCCTGCACATGACTAAATATTCAGGTACTTGCATACTCCCTACTGTGATAGGTTGTTTTCAATGGGCAACTAGCCTAACGTCTAAACATATAGCTGAAACACAAGCCTGAACTGTTTTAGTTTGATGGGAACATATCATAAACAGGGTGACTATACAGTGACAGTTATATATCTTGTCCTCATTGGCTGCTGATAATCTACTAATTTATGGGCAACCTAAAACCAACTGTTAAATGAATAAAGGGTTGAAAAATTCAGTAGCGCGAGCAGAAAAAAATTGCCGTCTGGAGACGGCAACCCGCAGATGTAGCAGTGCCATCCGTCCGTTTTTTTACTACGGGCGGACGGCAAGAGGTTAACATACCATTTTATATCTCTATACGTTGTTTCATGCATTTTGCAAAGCGTCAAAGGGCACTACACATGTACGTCATTATGAAATACCAATATAAGGAGATGCAAAAAATACTGTACACATATCACAATCACAAAGAAAACACAATGTGCAGGCTTTCTTATGAGTGGCGCATCAACTGAAACATTGTGTGAATCGGATGTTGAAAAATCACAAGTGGCAAGCATGAAATGAGATGTATGAGCTCTTGCTTTGAAGATGAGATGGAGTGAATCATGGCAGCCGGACACCACTGACCAATACGAGGGAACCATGGTTAGAAGTTGCATGCACCAAAAGCTATGCCATGAGCCACATGACAGAATACACACATTAGTCAGAATGGGCTGGATCATGCAATTATTCGGGAAGAAGCCGCTGGAAAGGATAAATAAGAAAAAGAGAATATACCTGTGTGGATCATAGGTTCGTCCATCTTTACTTCCTGATATAGGAAAATACAAGAGTATTGGTTGTTAACTTCTAGAAGAGAAATCATTCACCATATACTAGATTGCAAAGTCTTCTTAAAAGATGGTTAAGGTGTACCTATCACTGAAATGATTAATTCTTCAGTTATTATATTATTTTTATCAGGTACTTAAAGGGGTCAGTCCACCCATAACTGATTCATCATCTTTTTGTAGATGCTAGAGAGCCAAACAATGTGACAGATGGTTTTTTTTCTTGGGGACTCTATTGGTCAGGTGCCAGAGCTCCTAGTTCTGCACACCTGTAGCGGCTATTATAAGCGTTTCCATTCTCCCTGCTGGATTTTTAGTTAATTTTAGAGAATGCACAAAGAGATGCTGGGACAGGCAAATGTAAGGGAACACCCAGACTGCCAGGTGGACAGGAAGGAGTCAAGAATTATGGCAGGAAGATTATTCTTCTGGACTATCCAAGACCTAAAGAAAAGTCCACCAGGCTTAACCTATTACTAAAATATCACTTTTGGGTGGACTGGGCCTTTATTTCTGTGCTTGATAATATGCAATGGGGATTATTTACCATATTGTCTAAAATAAAAACTGTGTTCCTCCAAAGCAACTAATCCAATTCAGCTTAAATTGCAAATGATTTTCCCTTTACAAGTTTGTCACTATAGGGCAACACAGGCAGTTCTGGTTTTAAACAGATTGATAAATTAAGGATAGTGTAATGTCACTTCTGATTGTGGCCATACCCTCAGCCTTAAGGTGCCCATACACCTTACGATTATCGGACAAAACTTTTCGTCTGATGATCGAATAGTCGTACGATTTTCGTACGGCAGCCCCATCCTGCCCCGATGATCGCAAGATTAATTTAGCCGTAATTAACGAAAAGCACCTGGACGAAATGCGGTAATTGATTTGACCGAAACGCCAGCAACCTTACGAAAACCGTACGATCTAGCAAAGTTTTCAAACATGCTTGACTGTCAAAAGTCGTACGATTGTACAGTAATGTCGGTCGGACACTGCAATGCACACATGTGATTATCGGACGAAAAGTCGAAAATCGTCCGATAATCATAAGGTGTATGGGCACCTTCAGACAGCTCTGTGAGACAATTAAGGCTGCAGTCAGACCAGACTGGTGAGTTGGAATTCTTGGCAGGTGTTGCCATTTGCTTTCCCTGATGTAGCCCGGGTGGCACGCTTCAGCAGAGGCTCAGGGTATAGGACTATTTTGAACTGGTTTTCAACTACATATAGTGGATTTGCCTATTGGAAACTATTGGTGTACTAAGACCTAACTTGACCAGAAAGAGCTGGCATGCTCACCTTTACCACAAAATAGGCACCACCACTATATAAATGTAAAGCTCTTTGTAAGTGGCTTTAATGCTTGGGTTTTCATAGCTTGTAGAAACAAATAGTGTAATTTAAGATATTCATGTGGATTGTTCTCATTTTCAATAAGCCAGTAATATGCAGTACCTGCAAACATAAAATTAGTGACCAGCAAACTGTCTTTTACTAAGTACGGCTGATATTAGAAGACGTACGGGCTGTGTGAGGGGTAAGCAGGTTAGTTAGCAGCCCCTGGCTACAGTCATTCTAGTAGTTGTTAGCTCAGAAGCCAATGCTGTAAATAAGCTTTGCTGTTTGTCTTGACTTGTTATTATTAAACCTGTAGGAAAAAATTGGTCAGGCCAGAAAGTTATTATTCAGCAATTAGATTTTTTCGCATTTAGACATTTTTATATTCCAGCTGCTGTAAATAAATAGGATGGTGTAGCAATTTTTTTTTCTGTTAGCACATATTAAAGGTGTCTTCAAAAAGTCTTATATGCTAGTCACAGAATCTATTTGGAAACCATACAGGCTGATGTGAAAAATTACCTGTTTCTAGCCCTTTCGGCCTTGGGTTGCACTGGCGGTGACCTTGACAGCTTCTAAACTCCATCAGCTGTATGTGAAGCTGATTCAGAATTCCTCTTTCCACAGTATGTACAGCATTTTTGAGCTGTGGGGAATTCAATGATTTACACAAATAAGTCGTTAGTAATGGTTCAAAGGGCTTAAACTGATGAGATCAATACATTGCACTATGTAATGATATATGCAAATATGGACGGCAGTTATAAACCACCTTGGCCATTGTTACGCCACCTTTCCTATCATCATATATCTGCAAGGCCACACAGTAAACAAGACTTCTATAAAAGTTAACTGTACATAGTACATATCATTGGAGTTAAAGGAGAACTATGGGGTAAAGGCTTTTCCCCTTAGTTCTCCTAAGGGTAACGGGAGGACAAAAACTAGCGTCCTCCCGTCACCCAAAGCTCAGTATACCGCGAGCTACAGCTCGGGGTATACTGAGACGCCGCAGCCGGAACGGATCCCGACAATTCTGTCTGGATCCACCCAGATGCGTGAATGAAAGCTTGCTCTGCCTATCTAGAGGTAGAGCCAGCTGTACCCGCCCCCTCCCCCGTCAGCGCTGGAGGATCGGACAGGGGAGGGGGGGTAATCTCTCCAGGGAGCCGTGAGTGACAGTCACGGCTCTCTGCACGAATAGATGGAGAAGTAAGCGCCGGTATGTGTTTGCTCACTTCCCGTTCTACTGAGCCGACCTGTGATAGTTTCATTGTCACAGGTCGGCTCAGATCACGAGGCTGAGTGAAAATCACTCGCCTCATAATTCTCCTTTAACTAAACCTGCATACTTGAAACAAGAGGAGGCTCTGCGGTTCTGGACCACAGACTTTAGGATCACATACACAACCATATAATCTTGTCATTGCAAATAACGTTTTCCTGTATGTTGGAAATTCTCTGTGCAGATACTTTAAGTAAACCTGTACTGAAAGATATGTGTGCTCCTAGTGCAGACTTTATTTGGAGATGCTATTTGTCTGGCTGTCCCTGACATGAATGCTTCCTTAGCCATTGGGGTTGATTTACTAAAGGCAAATATGCCGTTCACTTTGCAAGAGAATTTGCAGGTGCAGGGGATGTTTTCCTTAACTTAGAGGTGAAATTTCACTTTACAAAGAATACTCAATCATCTGCAAGGAAAATGGAAAAACAGTAGCTTTCAAATACAGTATGCATTTTATCTATGTACTCAACTGTTTGCCTGGAGTTTAGCTTTAACATTTTGAGGCACCAATTCTACACTAAGTTTCATTGAAATTTCCCAAATTCCCCCCAACATGGTGATAATGAGTGAAGTATGGTAAAGGGGAGCTGTACCATCATCAGTTTCCACTCCCTGCGGAAGCTCCCAACACAGCAGGTGTCTGACTCCAAAAAGCCAAACTATTAGGTTTTAATAATTACTAGTAATAGGTTGCTGCTTGAATCAGTTCCATGGAAGGGTATTATTGGCCAATGGCTTGGTCCCCTAAGGATAACTGCAACATGTTACTAAATATTTGAATACATTTGTGTGTTTACCTGGTAGGGGTCAATGTTCATATCAAAGTACTCCAAGAAACCCGTGGCAAATTCACAAAACAGAAAATTGTGAGTCTCGTTGATTGTTCTCAAACACCAGTATGTGTTATTATTGGAGCTGGTACAGGTACAGAAGGACCCCACTGTGAAGAAACAGACTGCATTCAATCTTTTCTAAGGGTTACAAGGAAAAATGTACAGTTTAACAGTTCACTAGTTAGACATTTATAAGACGTGTGCATGTATAAGGTCTATAGTTTGATATGGTCATCATGCAGAACATACATCAGTCAATGTGGTCAGCGACATAATCACAACACTCATAAGTGTCAACTTTCCAAATTATAACTAAAATTGTAACTACAGCAGACTTTACATGACAAACATATGCAGGAAAAAACATTGACCTGCATTTGGGGTCTCACAGGACCCTTATAAGCTTGATGACATAGGATGCTTTGTCATCTAGCAATAGCGGATTTTACCTTTTACATTTGTTCCCTTTGCTTCTCACACAGATGGGATTATTGTAATGGGAACTCTATGATCTTAATGTGATTTATCTTTTGCTTGGCTTCATGTGAGGAGCAATTTAAAGAAGTGCCCTCATGGGATTGTGGCACCTACATCCATCATGTTATTGTTCTTATGGGGTTTACCTCAGACTGGACAAATCTTAGAAGCCAGGTAGCCAATGCCCCTTAAAAACCACAGTTGGCGCCTAAAGTTTAAGGTTTACTCTAGCTGTTTTCAATGGAGCTGGCTCCTAAAAAAAATCCTGCTGGCTCATCAGCTGGAGAGACTGTCTCCTGAATTCCATACTAATTTGTCCACCCCTGAAAGCTCTATCATAATGTGTGCTGTTTGCATGTGTGCTTATTTGTGGTACTGGCTTTCTCTCTTAGTTGTTTATAGGAATGGCTGAGAGCTGGTACTGGGTATATTAAGGTATTTGGTTATATTTTTGGTTCATGGTTTGTTTAATAAAGCTATAGTGATGTTTAAAAAAAAATATTTAAATCCCAACAATGGTCTGCTGGCAAGCTTTTGCCACACTTCTGTATTGTGTCTTTTTTAAAAAGGTAATTAATGTCACAATTGTTAATAGTTTTGGTGGGTTTAGTGGTGTCTACAATTCCATAAAAATATGTATGCACAAGCTATTATATAAAGCTGGCTATGGCATCATGCCATTATTGACTGGCTTGGGGCTTGATTTACATTTTCTGTATGAGGCCTTAGATGCTTAATTATTTCCACTGTGAAGGGAAGCATGTCCTGAAAGAAATATAGAGGCCATAGAGCCATGCTTGTGAAAAAAGCTAGTTGCTGGCCTGTCATGCCGATTTATTGGCCTCAATACGTTCCAAATAATTGATCTGGACCTGGTGTGAAAGACAGAAATACTGACTTTGGTGGCTTCATGCGTCAGTGACAGATGGTATTAAAGCCAGAGACAGCTAAACAAGTCCAATTTTCAGAAGGCAAGCACTGACAGCCTCCACATTCACTCAGTACAACTTTCCTTTAAACTGCTACTATTGTACTGGAGTGGCTGCATATACATGCCTGTGTTTCCTATATATATATGTATATATATATACACACTGTACATATATACACACACACATAAACACACACTCTTGTTAAATGCAGAAATATTTTAACTCAGATATTATCCTAGTCGTATTTACATTGGCATTACAGTCAGTAATAGCACGGCCTTCATTTCCCTAATTTCTTCTTTTAATTAAGTCCATGTAAAGTATACACACTCTGTACAACCATTTCTGGAAAAAAGTTTATCACAAGACATTTTAATCCCAGCAGTTCTGCTGTGTTTAATTAAAGAAGGGTTTAAGCAACAAGTCACATGAACCGTGTAACAGAAAGCTGAACTCTGCAGCTAGAGCAGCATACAGACCTCATTAATATATCAAAGTGCATCTATACCCAAAACTTGTTTTTTTTAGTTTTGGATTGAATGGGGAAAGGATTAGAACCCCTGTCAAGCGTTACAGCTATCTGGGGCTCCATTTGAGATATTTCCCTGCACTTTCTGTTCTGGAGAGAATGTTTTACCAGACTGGAAGTAAGGGAAAATCTGCAAAAGGGAAACAAACAACGATAAAAAACTGAGAGAGGTGCTAGCATCCTGTACATAACTTAAAAAATATATTTTGTCTGCTTTGCTGTTAGAGAGATTTTCCATCACTTCCTGTCCTGGGGGGGGGGGGG